GTTGACTTGGTTGCTGAGACAATCGCCCGCAGAGCTACTATCTCGGTTGGAGTTGACGTCGACGTTGCTATGCACGGACGAAGGTCGGTGCAGGGGACTCGGCCGGTATACTTGGCCCGACCAAGCATGTACCCCATCGCTGTAATGAGCAGCATTCTGCCACCATCATCTTGTAGCTTCACGCCTTTCTCCTTCAGCTGACCGGCGGATAGCAGGTTCGCCTGCACGCCCGGGACGTAGAGCACGTCGGGGATGAGCACCTGCTTCCCGGCCTCCCCTTGTAGAGCGACAGTTCCACGGCCGCGAACGTCCCGCAGCACCCCATTGAAGCCGCGCACGTACTTGACGTCCCCGCTTGGCTCCAAGTCGACAAAGGCTTCCTTCGTACCACCTCCGGGTTCGCCTGCACGGCTGCTGCCACCGCCTGGAAGTCCTCGCCGGCCTCTGGCGCCAGCGAAATGGTCGGCTCTACGACGTCGACCAGAGAGCACGACGCCTCCTGGTCGCCTCGCCTCTTGCCGTAGGTGGAGTCGGCGTCCTTCGCCGAGGTCGACTTGTTCGACTGCTTCTCCTTGCACGGCTTGCTTCCCCGACGTGGACAACGGCTGGCTGACCTCTCGCGGCCACACTTTGCGTCGTCGTCGTCGCAGTCACTGCGGTCGGGGACCAAGCACAGGCAGACGGGAAACAAGCCTCACCAGTAGCTTCGGGGCGAGTTGCTGGTGGTGAGGAGTGCCCCACCTTGCGGACTCCATCTTCAACGCCGCTGCAGCAAGAGTCGGAAGGAGCAATAGTACTTCGGGGGCAGATTCATGGTAAGGAGGTAAAGATGTTGGTGCTTTATCAATTCTCATTTCTTCTCGGCTAGTGCATGAATTGCAGTTATCTGTGCAGAACGATACAGCAGAAAGTACGGTGCGCATGGCGGATGGTGTAGTACGTAGCTGTGGACCTGAGTTGTACCCGGTCAGCTGCAACATAGGGGAGTATCATGGGAAGATTCCATTTCAACAAATTGGGCTTGACGGTCATGACTTCAGTTGGCAGCAGTGAACCCTCAGGTGGATTAAAAAATTAGGGTGGCAAAGGTGCTGTTTGGGGGGAGATTTGTTCACATACCAGTGGTGCAGCAGCAGGAGGAGTTGACCTTGCAGCTGATTTCTACGAAGCAGTTTGGTAAGGCCATTCGGGGGGAGGAAGCAGTCTTTCTGGGTCTCATCACAGAGGTTTAGCCCTCGTCATCTGAAGCAGCAATATCAACGGTTTCAGCACCACACACAGATGAGCACTTGACATACGATGTGGAGAAGCTGCTGTAAAAATTTTCAGGGGTGTTTCCGGATAATCTACCAGCTGGCATTCCTCCTATGTGAGCTGCTGATCATAGGATAGAGCTGATTCCAGGATTTACCCCACCTGTTAGACCTACCTACAAGATGAGTGCAGTGGAGCTGAAGGAGCTCAAGAAGCAGTTGGAGGACCTGTTAGGTAAGGAATTCATTCAGCCTAGTTCTTCTTCGTACGCTTCTGCGAAAGAAGGATGGTTCTCTGCGGATGTGTGTAAATTACCGCGGGCTCAAAAAGATAACAGTGAAGAACCATTACCCACTGCCACGGATAGATGAGCTGTTCGAGCAAGTTGGTGAGGCACAGTACTTCTCGAAGAAGGAACTGCATTCGAGGTATCATCAGGTGCGGATTCAAAGTGAGGACATCCTAAAAACAGCCTTTCGAACACGGTACGATCGCTATGAGTTTCGTGTGTTGCCCTTTGGTCTCGCCAATGCTTTAGCCTCTTTCCAAGGCATGATGCAGAGCATTTTCACTGATGTCATCCTGTCATGGCTGAGTGAGCACTGACTGTTTGCTAAGCGTTCCAAGTGTGAGTTTGCAAAAACAAAGCTGTCATTTTTGGGTCATGTGATCTCTCATGGGAAGCTGGAGGTAGACAAAAGCAAGGTAGCAGTGCTGAGGGAGTGGAAGCAGCCGAGTACAGTGAAGGAGGAGCAGGCATTCTTGGGGTTAGCTAACTACTACAGGCGATTTGTGAAGGGATTTGCAGCAGTTACAGCACCTCTGACCGATCTCTTACGAAAGGATTCATCATTCTTTTGGGGACCGTTGCAGCAGCAAGCTTTTGAGCAGCTTAAGACTTGTCTTACTTCACCCCCTGCCCTAGCAGTACCGAATCCAGAGCTCCCATACTTCATAGGGTGTGACGCATCAGACGTTGCCCTTGGAGCAATTCTCTGACAGGAGCAGAAAGCTAGGCTGCAGCCTATAGCCTTTGAGTCACGGAAGCTCACTGCTGCAGAGCGCACTTACCCCATTCATGAGAGAGAGGCACTTGCTGTGGTGCATGCACTGAAGAAGTGGCGCTGTTATGTAGAGATGCAGCCCGTCACGGTCTTCACTGATCATAGAACACTGGAGTACCTGAAAACAGTCACAGATCACACCACGGCAGGCGCGGTGGGTTCATTTTCTGGAGCAGTATGTTCCCAACCTGCAGATTGTGTACAAACCAGGGTGCTTCAACCCAGCAGCAGAAGAGCTGAATGCCATGGGTGTGGTTACATGGGACCGCAACTTCATCACTCGTTTCAGCCAAGGTTACAACCGTGATCAGCTGTACCAACAGAAAGCCCCTCGTGACCCATCCTTCCTTTCCAGCAACCCTTTTTGGACCCATGCAGATTCTGGTGCTGTTTGTGTACCTGATGACTCTAGGCTCCGCCAGCTGCTACTACACAAGTACCATCGGTCACACTTCGGCAATGACAAGACATATGTTGCCATTTCTCGTGACTACTACTGGCCTGGACTGTCCCGGAGTGTAGCGGAGTACGTCGCTTCATGCCCTACCTGTCAGGTCAACAAGGCACACACCGCTGCACCGGCTGGTCTACTGCAACCGTTGGAGATACCCACAATCCCCTGGACTTGTGTTTCTCTGGATTTTATCACAGACCTACCCCGCACCCCTACAAGCTTTGACAGCATTCTTGGGGTCATTGGCAAGCTGTCCAAGTTGGCTCATTTCATTCCCATAACTAGCACAGTGACTGCTGCTGAAACCGCAAGTTGTTTTTCATGCATGTAGTGAGACTGTACGGACTGCCATCAGCCATAGTCAGTGACAGAGACACACGGTTAGCTCGCGATTTTAGAGAGGTCATGCCTGCAGGTGACAGAGGCAAAGAGCATGCATCCTAATTGCTGTTAGTAAGGGTGGATTCTGGCAGGGGATAGGGCTTTATTGTCGGGTTGGTGGTTTGGTTCGGGAGTGATTAAGGGTGGAAAGTGGTGCATGCGCAATGTTGAAGTGTTTACCAAGTTCCTCAGTGTACTTGGCTGCTTAGAGATGGATGGCTTCTAGTGCGTAGGAGATATTAAGGCCAAGGAATTGCTTCACGTCGTGATTGCAGGTAATGTCGACGCGCCCCCCCAGGTTCTTTTCGAATTGTTCGAGCAGCTCGTTGCTCGACCCTGTGTAAAGTAAGTTGTTGACGTAGACCGTGAGGAGAATGTATTCGCCGCGGAAATCGCGGCGGTACATCCCAGGGTCGTGGGGCAGTTGCTTGAAGCCTATCTCAAGCAAGATGTTGAGCACATGTTACTACTGCTAGAGCCTTGCGCTTGTTTGATCCCGTAGAGGGACTTTCGCAGCTGGCACACACGTGAATCTCCTTCCCTGTATGTGTGCGGCTGCTCCACGTAAATCACCGTATCCACTAATGCATATAAGAATGCATTCTTCACATCAATTTGGCGGAGCGGCAAGTGCCTCGCGGCAGCGATGGCGAGTAGGATTCAGACGGAGTTGTGACGACTGACCGGCGCAAACGTCTGGTCGAAATCGATGCCGTGCCTCTGATCGTTGCCGCGCATGACCCAACGTGCCTTGAAGCGCTTGATCGTGCCGTCAGCTGTGGTTTTTACATGAAACATCAATCCTTCTTCCTTTGATTGCAGCGCGATCGACTAACACCCAGGTGTCGCGGGATTCGAGCGCCCTGATTTGTGCGTCCATCGCCTCGCGCCATTATTTGCTGTGCGGTCCCGTGAGTGCTTGGCGCGGATTATTGGGCTCGATGACACGTGGCGCCATTGAAGTGGCGGCGTGAAGCCCTAGAATTTGTAGTCCTGAGACGGTGCCGTCGTGGCGATGCTGCAGGATGACCTCCTGTACGTCATCGTCATCGCTTTCTGGTTCAGGTGGCGGTCGTGGCGCTGCGCCTCTGCTGCTTCCTCCCGCTCCGCCGATTCCTCTTCCTGAGGGGTCTTCATCGTCATCGTCATCGCTGCGGCGATCTCCCCTTGTGCATTCGCCTCTGTTGTCTTGCTTGAAGATGGCTGCAGCGGCTTCGTCCTCGGGCGTTGCGTAGCTGTGCCCGTCGTTGGTGTAAACGCGATTCGCGTTTGTCCGCTCGTCTTCGTGGAATTGTTTGAGAAAAAGCCGCTCGTAGAAAATTATGTCGCACGCGTTTGTGACTTTCAGGCTGATGAGATCTAGAATAAGCCACGCCTTGTGTTCGTGGCTGATGCCGAGGTGGATTTCTACCACGCACGGCTCACGAATTTGCCAATGGTTGATGTCGGCGGGCGATATTGCACCATGCACCCCTTGATGCAGATCATAGATGTGTCGCCCCTCGTGCCCGTCCACTTTAGGTGCGGGGAGAGGTTGCCGGTAATGGCGGTGGTAGATAGCAGGCTGGGAGTTTTGACTGCTTAAGTAGCGCCCGCACCTTCGTCATGAGAGATGTGGTGCTTGATTTTTGCGCCAGGAAATCCTGCAGTTCTTTGCTGCAAAATTCCGCTGCTCCGTTCGACTGCCAGATTGTCGGCGCGCGTGCGCCAGCCAAAGGCAGAAAACTTTGTACGCCCTGCTACGGGCTTCAATGTCAAACATTATGCATGTTGTAGCTTTGTAGGCTACAGTGGGTTTAGCCTTAGGGGGTACAGAACTCTAGGGTTTCATATTTGTACTCCCATTGATGTTAGTCACACCGTTCTCGTTCAACCTTTCACATGGTATAGAGCAGGTTCCCTCGTGGGAACTGTTCCTAGGGCCCACCGTCACATTTTTTTTTTCCTGCCCGGAGCGCGCTCGGCCCCTGCCCGAGTCGCGCCCCTCCCCCTCGCCTCTCTTAGCGGCCCCGTCGCGCCGCCCTTTAGGCCCCGGCGCCGCCTCTGTTGGCCTCGCGGCCCTACCCTCGCGACCCCGCGGCCCCACCCTCGCGTCGCCCTGCGCGGCGTCGTTACAGCCGCCCGCGACCCCAACGCCGCCCGTCGCGGCCCCGTCGCCCTTCGCGCCGCCCGCGACCTCGTCGCCGCGGCCGCCCGCGACCCTACCGCTGCGGCCGCCCGCGACCCTGGCATCGCAGCCGCCTACGACCCTGCCGCCAAAGCCGCCCGCGACCCTACCGTCGCTGCCGCCTGCGACCCTGCTGTCGCAGCCGCCCGCGACCTCGTCGCCGCAGCCGCCTGCGCTCCCGTCGTCGCAGCCGCCTGCGCTCCCGTCGTCGCAGCCCCTCGCGGCCCCTGTCGTCGCAGCCGCCCGCGACCCCGTCGCACCACCTGTGCGACCCCACCGCCGCCCTTTGCGGCCCCGTCGCCACACCTTCGCGGCCCCGCCGAGCAGCCGAGCCGCCGAGACGCTGCCGCAGCCGAGCCGCCGAGACGCTGCCGCAGCCGAGCCGCCGAGCCGCCGTTGCCGCTGGGCTGCCGGACTGCCGAGCCGCCGCTGCCGCCGAGCTGCCGAGCCGCCGAGCCGCCGTTCCTGCTGTCGCGGCCCTGTTCCTGCCGACGCGCCTCGGTCCTCCTTGCCTGCACGGTAAGAGCAGCGCCTCCACCACTGCTCTGCCCCTGCCTGCTGCTCTCACTGCTAGTCTACTGCTGTCATGGCTTCCCCCAGTGTCCTCACCTTTGACGCTGAGGGCCGGGCCATTGACTTTGACGTCTGGGTAGATGACCTGCAGCTTTTCCTACTGAGCGACAGAGCAGACGGCCTCTCCCTCTTTGACCTCATTTTTGGTGCCTCTCCTGCCCCTGCTGCTGATGCTGACGCCACTGTTCGCTCCCAGTGGGCCACGCGCGATGCTGCTGCCCGCCTTGCTGTGCGCCGCCACTTGCCGACCGCTGAGCGTGCGCACTTTAGCCAGTACAAGAGTGCTAAGACCTTGTACGACGCTGTAGTTGCACGCTACTCTTCCCCTGCCACTGCTGCGCTTAGCCGCCTCATCCTACCGTACCTCTTCCCTGACCTCGCCGCTTTTCCCACTGTCGCTGACCTCATTACGCACCTTCGCACTAGTGACACTCGCTACCGCGCTGCGCTTCCTGCTGAGTTCTGCGCCAAGAACCCCCCCCCAATGTACATCACCCTCTACTACATAGTCACCCGGCTCCCTGACACCCTTCGCCCGGTCAGGGACCACTTCCTCTCTGTTTGCCCCACCACCCTCACCGTTGACCTCCTCGAGGAGCGCCTTCTAGCGGCAGAGAAGAGCATAGTCGCAGTAGGTGCCCCTTGTGGTGACCCTCGTACCCCTGTCTTTGAGGGGTGCTCCCCCTCTCCCCTCTTGCCCTCTGTTGCCTCTGCTGCTGCGGCCGACCTCGTTGGTCTTGAGTCGGTCGCTGCGGCGTCTGCCCCTAGCGGGAGACGCCGCCCTGGCAAGGGCAAGGGGGGCAAGGGTGCTGGAGGAGCTGGAGGGGGCGGTGGAGGCGGAGGTGGAGGTGGTGGAGGGGGTGGGGGTGGCGGTGGGGGTGGTGGCGGGGGTGGGGGCGTCGGTGGCGGGACTGGAGGTGGAGGTGGAGGCGGTGGTGGCAGTGGGAGCGGAGGTGGCGGAGGTGGCGGTACTGGAGGAGGTAGCGGCGGAGGCGGTGGAGCTGGTCGGGGTGGCGCTGCGCAGAGGGGTGGCTCCGGTGGTGGTGCTCGCCAGCAGCAGCAGCAGCAGCAGCGTACCCGTGAGACCCCTTCCCCCCAGCAGCTTCGTGAGTGGTACGCTGCTCGTCAGCGGGGCGGGGGTGCTGGCCCCTGTACCTACGTTCTCCGTACCGGCGACCGGGCGGGTGAGCAGTGTGGGGGCGCGCACCCCACCCAGCGCTGCTTCGGTCGTCTGACGGACGCGTGGCGCCACCAGTTCCCCGACGCTACTGAGATCCCTCGCTGGGGCGAGCTGTCTAGGGCGGGTGTTGCAATCTATGATCTTGATTTTGATGCTATTCTTGCTGCCATGTATGCTGTGACTATTAGTGATGAGGGTGACTGTTACCGGTGTTTCCCGCCTGACCCAGGCATAGAGGCTGCTGCGCTAGGTACTTGTGAGGCTGCTGCTCTCAGTGCCAGTGCGTCTGCCGCCCCAGGTGCCGGTGAGTTTGCGCTCTCAGGTGCTGCGTCGTCCCCGGACACCCACACCTTCACCCTTGACTCGGGTGCTTCCCGCTCCTTCTTTCGAGACTACACCACTCTCACACCGCTCAGTCAGCCTGTTGCGGTCTCCCTGGCAGACCCCTCTAGGGGTCCTGTCCTTGCTCACTACTCCACTGTCCTACCGTGTCCGGCGGTCCCGTCTGGCTCCCTGTCGGGTCTCTACCTCCCCTCGTTCTCTACGAACTTGGTGGCGGGTGCTGACCTCCAGGATGCAGGAGTTGACCAGTTCACCCCTGCGCGTCAGCGGGTGACCCACTGCACTTGTGCGGACACGGGCCGACACTTGGCCACGTTTGCTCGTCGGCCAGGGTCGAGCCTGTACACACTGACTACTGAGTCTCCTCCAGTCACTGAGTCTGCTCAGGTAGCAGCGTCGGGTCAGGTGTTTGCTGCGGCGTCCAGGTCTGGTCCTGAGTCTGCCCCCTGCTCGTGTCGTCTCCTGTCCCACCGGACTCTCCTCTGGCACCACCGCCTTGGTCACCCCTCCCTGCCTCGTCTTCGAGGCATGGCTTCCCGTCTTCTTGTTTCTGGCCTCCCCCGGTCCCTCCCTCCCCTTCCTCCGGGGCCTGCCCCCACCTGCGTTCCCTGCGTCGAGGGGCGGCAGCGCGCTGCTCCTCACTCCTCCGAGTTTCCTCCGACAGAGGCTCCGCTGCAGACGCTTCACATGGACGTGTGGGGCCCAGCCCGCGTCCGTGGGCAGGGTCACGAGCGTTACTTCCTGTTGGTGGTTGACGACTACTCGCGTTACACCACAGTCTTCCCCTTGCGCAGCAAGGGTGACGTCACTGAGGTGTTGATCGCCTGGATCCGCGCAGCTCGTCTCCAGCTCCAGGAGAGTTTCGGCTCCGACTTTCCTGTTCGGCGTCTGCACTCCGACCGAGGCGGAGAGTTCTCCTCTGACCTTCTGCGGGCCTTCTGTCGCGCACGAGGCATCCGCCAGACCTTCACGCTTCCGGACTCTCCGCAGCAGAATGGGATTGCTGAGCGCCGCATCGGCATGATCATGGACGTCGCTCGTACGTCCATGATCCATGCGGCTGCTCCCCATTTTCTGTGGCCGTTTGCGGTTCGGTACGCGGCGCATCAGCTCAACCTTCACCCCCGGGTCTCCATGCCGGAGACCTCCCCTGCTTTGCTGTGGACGGGGAAGGTTGGTGATGCGTCTGGTTTCCGGGTCTGGGGATCTAGGGCGTTTGTCCGCGACTTGTCTGCGGACAAGCTGTCCTCTCGCGCTGTTCCCTACGTCTTCCTTGGCTTTCCCCCTGACGCGCCAGGCTGGCAGTTCTACCACCCCACCTCGCGCCGTGTCTTCGCGTCCCAGGACGTCACCTTTGACGAGTCGGTTCCCTACTACCGTCTCTTCCCCTACCGCACTGCGTCCCTCCCTCCCCCGCCGCTCTTCCTTACGCCAGGTCCCCCTCCGGTAGACCCCCTCCCCCCTCAGGGTCCTGCTCCCTCAGGTGTGTCCCAGGTAGATGCAGTTGAGCCAGTCGAGGTAGCTGTTGACTCTGGTGCTGCTGGTGGTGCTGAGCCTGAGGGTGCAGGGTCTGGGGGTGCTGCGACTGGGGGTGCTGAGCCTGGGGGTGCTGAGCCTGGGGGTGCTGAGCCTGGTGGTGCTGAGCCTGGGGGTGCTGAGCCTGGGGGTGCTGCGCCTGGGGGTGCTGAGCCTGGGGGTGCTGCGCCTGGGGGTGCTGAGCCTGGGGGTGCTGAGCCTGGGGGTGCTGAGCCTGGGGGTGCTGCGCCTGGGGGTGCTGAGTCTCGGAGTGCGGAGCCTGAGGGTGCTGGACCTGCTCGTGTGGCGTCTGGTGGTGCTGAGCCTGGCAGTTCTTCGGGTGCTTCGTCCCGGCGGGAGCTGCTCTCTCCACAGGAGCTGCGTGAGTGGTTTGCCCGGCGCTGGCGGCGTGCTGCTGGAGCTGGTGGTGCTGCAGGCGCTGGAGGTTCTACTGCTGCTAAGAGTGCTGGTGTGGAGGGTCCCAGAGGTGCTCGTACCGAGTGTACTGGAGCTGCTGGGCCTTCGGTTGTTCCGACTGGAGCTGGGGCTACTGGGGGTGTTGGCGCTGGAGGTGCAGCTGGCGCTGGTGCTGCTGCGGGTGCTGGAGTTGGCGCTGCTGGGGCTGGAGGTCCTCCTGGTGCTGGTGCTCCCGTTGGGGGTACTGGTGCTGTTCCTGCTGGCACTGGTGGCGCTGCGCGGCCGCGGCCGTACTTCGTTCCGCTCCTTGAGCAGGTTCTTGGTCTTCCGTCCTCTCTTGGTCCTGCTCCTCCCTTAGCGTGTCCGCCTCCTGTCCAGTCCGAGTCACAGTTACCGCCGGCCTCCCCGCTTCCTTCTCCCTCTCCCTACACTGGTCCTACTGGAGGTCTTGCTGAGCGTCGTGAGCCTGCGTCTCGCCCTGCGTCGCCTGTCCGTGCTGCTCGCGCTAGTGGTCGTGGTTCGCGTCAGCGTCCTCCTCCTGTCCCCGGCACGCACCGGATGTCTCTGCGTCCTTCCACTGCTCCCCTGCGTGCCCCTTTGCCTTCTCCTCCCGCGTCCTCTCTTCCTGACCTTCCTGACCCTGAGTCGGACTCCCTTCGTGCTGCGCGTCCTACTGTCACGCGTCTCCTTGCTACTGTCGTCACTGACCCTTCCTTTGAGTCTACTGCTGCGTCTGCTCTGGTTGCTGAGCTTGTCGACTTCGCTGCTCGCTGTCGCCTAGACTACGCTACCAGTCTCGTCGCTGAGTCTGAGTCTGTCTGTCCTCCGTCCGTCGGGGGTGAGTGTGCTCTTGGCACGGACGTCCTTGAGGACAGGCAGGAGGAGTTCCAGTGCTTGGCTGCTGCTTCACCTCATCTCGTGTCCATGCTGCTTGCCCCTGAGGGAGACCCGGATGCACTTGACATCCCGACTCCGCGCTCTTACGCGGAGGCGATAGAGGGTCCCTACTCCTCTCAGTGGCAGGCAGCCATGGACGCAGAGATGGCTTCCTGGAAGTCCACAGGCACCTACGTTGACGAGGTTCCCCCGCCTGGGGCGAACATCGTCAGTGGCATGTGGATTTTCAGGGTGAAGCGGCCGCCGGGTTCTCCGCCTGTCTTCAAGGCGCGTTACGTGGCTCGTGGCTTCAGTCAGCGGCAGGGAGTTGACTACTTTCAGACCTTCTCTCCCACCCCGAAGATGACCACTCTTCGGGTACTGCTGCACATAGCCGCTTACCGAGACTACGAGCTGCACTCTCTTGACTTCAGCACTGCTTTCTTGCAGGGCAGCCTGCACGAGGAGATCTGGCTGCGCCGCCCACCTGGCTTCACTGGGACTTTTCCTCCTGGCACCCAGTGGAGCTTCCGGCGGCCAGTCTACGGTCTCCGCCAGGCGCCTCGTGAGTGGCACGACACACTGAGGACGACACTTGCGGCTCTTGGGTTTGCTCCTTCTACTGCCGACCCGTCGCTGTTTCTGCGCACCGACACTTCTTTGCCGCCGTTCTACATCCTCGTGTACGTCGACGACTTGGTCTTTGCTACAGCTGACACTGCTGGACTTGCCTACGTGAAGTCCGAGCTGCAGAAGAGACACACGTGCACAGACCTGGGTGAACTGCGCAGCTACCTTGGCTTGCAGATCACCCGGGACAGAGCACAGCGCACCATTACCCTGACTCAGTCAGGTCCTTCAGCGCTTCGGCTTCACGTACTCCTCGCCTCAGGCCACTCCTCTGCCTACACGCCACTCGCTCTCAGCTCTGCCTTCGGATGAGTCCGTAGAGTCGAGTGGCCCGTACCCAGAGCTTGTCGGCTGCCTCATGTACCTGATGACCTGCACTCGACCTGACCTTGCATACCCTCTTAGCATTCTTGCACGCTATGTTACTCCTTGGAGACACAGACCAGAGCACATGGCTGCAGCGAAGAGGGTGTTGCGCTACTTGTGCAGTACGTCTGGCATGGGGCTTGTGCTTGGAGGGCAGAGTCCAGTGGTCCTCACTGGTCACGCAGACGCTTCTTGGGCCGACGACCAGGCTACGCAGCGGTCGTCACAGGGTTACACCTTCAGCCTTGGTTCCGGCTCTGTTTCGTGGCGATCTACCCGCTCGTCTTCTGTTCTCGGCTCGAGCTGTGAGGCTGAGATCTACGCAGGGGCCATGGCTGCACAGGAGCTACGCTGGCTCACCTACCTGCTGACTGACCTGGGAGAGCCGCCTCGTTCTCCTCCAGTGCTGTACGTAGACAACAAGGCCATGCTGGCCTTGTGTCGGGAGCACAGACTGGAGCACAGAACGAAGCACATCGCTCTCCGCTACTTCCTTGCTCGTGAGCTGCAGCAGCGTGGTCAGCTGCGCCTTGCTTACGTGGCCTCTGAGGCCAACACTGCTGATATCTTCACCAAGGCACTCGCGCCTTGTGATCATCAGCGCTTCTGTACTCTGTTAGGTCTTGTGCCTACCTTGCCTCACTTGCTTACTTCTTGACCTTGCTTGTACTGTTACATATATATACCTGCCCTTGCTTGTTTAGCGTTATATATATGTAACCTTGCATGTGAACTGGCCTTGTGGCCTTGAACTTGTGCTCAGAATGTGTGGTGACATTGAGATCCACCCTGAGCTTGCTTTGCTTTGCTTTGCTTGACTGGTCTTGTGACCCCTTGTTCTCCCCCACTTTGCCTATGGGGGTGTGTCAAACATTATGCATGTTGTAGCTTTGTAGGCTACAGTGGGTTTAGCCTTAGGGGGTACAGAACTCTAGGGTTTCATATTTGTACTCCCATTGATGTTAGTCACACCGTTCTCGTTCTAACTTTCACATTCAATGTTGAACACCCACACGTAGCGGGTGCCTGCATCAACAAACGCGAGCGTGTACTGCTCGTCATTAAGCCTGCAGTGGCCGACGACGAGAAAATCGCTGTACACCTTGTGCAGCTTTGGGTAGCGGTTAATTCCCGGCTCCAGTAGGGGGAATGGTTGGTGGCATAGTGTAGCTTTGAGGCAGACAGTGCAGGTGCGTGGCTGTAACGTGCTCCTTATTTCAGAGCCGTCAGGGCGCAGGAGAGTGCCAAGTGCGAATACGCCTGCGTCGATGCAGTTTTTCAGTGTTGCGTACGAGGGGTGACCGAGGCGCTGGTGCCAAAGGTCATCGTTGGCGCGGAATCTGGAGGTGCACATTTAGCGCGTGCGGACTGCTTCGGGGTCTTCTTCTGGTGGTGGGGCAGGTTCTGCTTATGCTTCTTTAGCTTCTTCTTCTTCGTCACTCGCTGTTGTTGGCATTAGCGCTAAAAATTCTTTGTCACGTATTACGGAAAGTGGGATGTTTGTCCCGGGGATTGTGCCGGGGAAGAAAGTTGGCTCGCGCGGCTCGGGATCAGGTCCGTAGACTGTGCGATGCGGAGTTGACTGTTCGTTGCCCCAGTCGATGGTGTCCCAGGGATCGCAATGCGGCTAGATGTCCAGTGGGGGCAGCGTAGGTGCGGGAAGGCGTGGGGGACGGCCGGGAGGAACAACGCGCGGTTCGGCTCCTTCAGTCATTTCTACTCCCCCCCTTTGTTCTTCTTGCCAGGCGCTCCACGCTTCGCCGAAAGTGCCGTAGCCGCTTGTATTGCCGCTGGTTGCGGCACCCCATCCACAAGTGTCACTCGTTTTTCATCCGCCGGCCCTTCCTCACCCCCCTTCATTGGAGGCACTTTCTTCTTCTTCTCCCCAAGCAGCGTAGGCAAGTGTGCCGCACGCCTCGGCGATGCTTTTCTAGCGGAGTTTTTCGGCTTCGCGGCGCGCCAACTCTTCTTTTTTCACGACAGTGAGCTTCTTCGCGGGGTCACGCAGTGGGGGTAAACCTTCATGAACTCCTCTTTTGTGTAAGGGTGCGCCAAGCCGCGCGCGTCGAAGGCTGCTTGGTGTTGTCTGCGCATGATTTCGTTGAGCCGTTGAGACGGTGGGCCCGGAAGGGAGTTCTGTTCGGGGCCAAAAACGAGTTGAGTGGTTACTTCCAGCTTAAGTGCCAACATTCCTTCTTCTAAAGGCGCGGATCGTTCAGCGTCAGCGATGGCGGCGAGCCCACGGCCAGCGATTGCACTGATTGAAGCGGTGGGCGTATGGTAGTCCTTGTAGATGCCGTCTGAGTCAGGGTCATGCAGCGCCAGCTTGCGCAGATGCTGATGATGCGGTACTTACGGTCTCCTGTCAGGGTGCTTCCACTCTGAGCAATGGATGTGCTCGAAGCGCAGTGGAACGAGGTCGATTAACTCGTTCGGATTGCCGCTGCAATCGGAAATATCAATGTCGAGAATGTGCACTCCATTCTCGGAGTATGCGCGTCCGATCTGCCTACGTGCTTTGGTCGGGACGAGTAGTGCAGGAGGATGTCGCGCGTTTGGGGGTCCATACTTAATTTGACGCAACAATCTATGAGTTGAGCGACGGAGAGAAGATTGAGGCGCAGGTTCAAGACTATTAGCACATCATTCAGAGTGATGTGTGTGGGGCTTCCGCGTGCCTTGAGCATGACGATTCCTTGCGCGCTTGCTCGTAGACGAGTATTGTTCGTCACGATGACATAAGTGACCGTGGGGTTTGGGACGTTGTTGGAGACGAAACGCTCGGATCCAACCATGTGCTGCCCGCAACAGCTGTCCAGGTACCAGGTGTTGTAGCGCTTGTTGTCGTCACGTGCGAGCAGCGCCAATCGCAGCGTGACGATGTGCGGTGTGTCGAACTTCAAGAATTGTTGGCGTGAGAGCCAATCGATCGGTGCCTCCCGTGAATCAGGTACGTGCGAGGAGCTCTCAAGCTGCGGCACTAGTAGATTCCAGTCCTAATTGTCGTCGTCGCTGAAGTCGTGACGGGCTTTGAACGGATTGTTATCCCTGAATGCTCCGATTGGGTGGCGTGCTGGCTCGGGTGACGACGTACGCACGTGGTGACGGCGTGTCACATTTATGTGAATGTGAAAGGGGGAAGGAAAGGTGGGGTGTACATAATGTACATAGTGTATATAACGAAGCAGACGGGGACAAGAAACGGGAAGTGAAGAGTCAGCCAGCGACAAGGGAGTGGAGAGGTGGGGGAGGATTGGCCCATGCCAAAGCGAAGGGCGGGCAGTGCATGGAAAGGAGGGTGGGCGATACTTAAGTAAAAGTGGAAGGAGTGTGGAGGGCGGTACAGCGCATGGCAGCGGCAGCGGGAAGAGGGGTGTCACGTTCTGCTTGGATGTGTGAATGCGCGCATGCATGTTTGGTTCCCCGTGTGAGCAGGTTGCGCCAAGGATCCAACTGGAACTACCCAGTGACAGTTGGAGGACAAGTAGCTAGAGGTTGAGGGAAGCTGGCAAGGAGCAGCGTGGATGTAAGCCTGCTCGTAGGTGGCAATAGCTGCTAGCGTGCAGGCTGGGCAAAGATGGGAGAGGCACTAGGGTGGGGCAGATCTGGTAGAATAGGGGGATTCTTGGTTTGCAATCGCCTTGCTTGTATGTTTTCCTTGTTAACAGGAAAAATCTTGCCTCAAGCCGAGCAAGTAGTGCGACATGGAAGATATGGCAAGCACTCGCTTTAGCTAAGAAGGGAGTAGGATGATGTGAGGGAGTCCTAGGCTTATCACAGACAAGCAATCGTCGGTAGGGCATGCCCACAAGATCGGGCCGAGATTACGCGCCTAAGGAAAAGCTTGTGGTGTCAAGTACGATGGTGGGTGGAGTTTGGGGAGGCGTGAATCAAGAGGCCGAAGGGGGCGTGCACTGCGCGCAAGGGGGCGATGTGGTGAACCACGAAAGGGCCATGGGCCTGAGCGGTGGATTGGAGTTGTCGCACGGCGGGGCAGGAGATGCGGCAAAGGACGTAGCGGCATGGCCCACGTCAGAAGCAGGGAGGATGCCAGGGGAAACCGGGAAAGCAAGCGATCGTCAGTATCAGCGAAGCGTGTCGTGGCAAGGTTCGGAAGAAGAGGCGATATACATGCGATGGCGTTACACGATGCTGCCAAAGGTCGAGGTGCCAGAGAGGTTTTCGGGAGAAGCAAGGAAGGGGCCTTCCGGGAAGAGAAAGGAGCTGGGGCTGAGGCCGAGGGAGAGATGCCTAAGGCCGAGGACAGAGGAAAGGGTGGAGCAAGGGCCGAGACGGCATGCAAGAAGCAAAGTGGGGATGCAGCCTCCTCGGAGGCATCAGTACAGGACTGGCGGCGGTGCTGAAGGCAGGGTTGAGAGTGGAGAAGTATATCTACATGGATAATTATGAGGCAGGTGGGTGGATGCCGTGGCACCATGTGAAGAAACTGGAGGAGCGGTACCCATCATAGTTGTATGAGGGGGCAGTGGACAGAGGGGCGGAGTGGATCTGCCACAGAATGGAGGACGTTAAGGAAGATGCGTTGGCGCACTGGGGGCATATCGATCTGGTAATTGCGGGGTGGGAGTGCCAAGGATTGTCTCAGGCAGGAGAAGGCAGGGCGTATTATTTCGGGAGCTGATACGCATCCTGAAGGTGATCAAGCGCAAGCAGGGGGAGGTAGCCTACATCATAGAGAACGTAGACACACGGGATGATCCAAGGGAGGAAGTGAAGAAGGCGGAAGAAGAGATAAGGGGGGAGCTGGGGGCAGGAGTGGCCGAGGATGCGGCTCAGAATGGGAGCAGAGCACACCGCCCGCGACGATATTGGCAGAGCATAATGCCAGAGGCAGCACTGCTATATGAACTCTCACTGATGGAGCGGTCAAGAACCCGACTGGTGCAAGACATATTGGAGCCAGGACGAACGCCTGCACCAGTTAGGCATCTAGACCATGAAACACAGTACCTTTGTAACAAGGTGGGAAAGCCGAGGGAAGCATGGCCTATGCTAGTGGCACACGACAGCTCCAGAGCCTTCAGAGAGGAGGATGGAATTGAGGGGCCAGGCATGGTGTACGACAGGCTGAAGAGTGTCTGGGAAGAGCCCACTGCACTAGAGAGGGAGCTGGCCATGGGGTTCATGGCGGGAGCAACAGCGTGCCCAGAGGTGACGGAAACGCAGCGGAAGAAGGCACTGGGCAACGCCATGGACTTGAACGCCCTGCACTAGCTAGTGGACGCCATGAACCGGTATCAGGAAAGGAAGAGGTTGGAGAGGAGGAGAGATCATGCGGCAGCTACTGAGCCTAAGACACGGGAGGAAGGGAGTAAGGAAGAAGAAGCTGAGATTCTGCTGGAGCATCTGGAGTGGGAGGCGTGGGAGATGCGGAAAAGGGGAGTGCCGTAGGAGAAGCGGAGCGAGAGGCTGAGCGATTCACAGGGAATCCCAGGAAGGTACCCAGACCAGGAAATGGAGGCAGAGGGAGAATGGGAGGAACCAGAGACTAACTGAGACTCAGAAGAGGAGGAGGATCCAACAGACCATTGGATTCCAGACCCAGATGAGGTCTTCCTAGGGCCAAGAGGAGCTTACATGGCGGCAGTGGCGGAAGCAGGAGAGGAGGCACCGGGTGAAGCTGCAGAGGAGGAGAGG